TGTAATCTTGAATTTTAAGTAATATGCATCAATATACAGTACTTCATGCATAAAAAATGGTTTTTAAGAGTTCTTGTCAAATGTTTTATAATATAGTATAGATATAAAGCAACAAATGAAAACTGGTTTATAAATTTATACGATTTATTGAGTTTGTAAATGATTATGCATATGTATTTGTATACCTAAAAAATCCATCAGTTCCTATCAACAGTTTAATGTAAAGAGTTCAATGTAAAGGGCCGTTTACCTAACGCTTACTCGATAATCGCTTACCGATAGGAGTCAAACACTTTCACTTAACTTACCGAATAAGATTTTAGTCCACTAAAATATTATTGTATGGAACATGTTTATCCTGTAAGCAATTACCGGGTAAGAGTCGTCAGTCTCACTTATTGGGTACGACTCTCGGTCCTTACATTCGCTCTTACCGGGTAAGATTCTCAATTTTTGTCATATTCATTCGATACCGGTGAGCACTTACAGCATAAGCGTTTAGTAAACGGCCCCTATGTTTAAGGAAATATGTAAAACATGAAAGAAACTTACTAGGATTATTGGATGTAAGTGCAGCGGTCTGAACGAAGTCACAATTCCATGGATTCCTACCAGCAGTTTGATAAAGGAGGTTCATTGCATAAGCAGCATGGGATGCTATTGTGTTGGGGTCAAAACAGGCACCACCAGGTTGAATCGGACCACAATCAAGCCCTTGACCACATACATAGTCTAGATTCGACTGCAATTGCGCATCAGACACACCTGGTTTCGGCACACACCACCCTGCTGCTTGAACCGGTGACGGTGTTGCCGGAGTTGTGGGAGTCGCCGGTGATGTTGGTGTCGTCGGAGTCTGGATGAGATTACAATCACCAAAAGGAAGATTTTACCACCCGAGGTTAGAAAGTTAAAAGTTCCCATCTAGGCCGTCGAACTTTTGCTTTAAACAATAAACCAAACTAAATGCATCCAGTAAATTCCACATGGCATGTGGGTTTAGGGGAGGTTGAGATGTAGACAGACTTTACCTCTGTCCCAAAGGGTAGTAAGGGCATGTCTGTTAGCAGCTTAATGAGTTGAATGAGATTCGCAGCTTGTTCGGTCAGCTATACATAACTGATTGATAGTGGCTTAATGATATAGAAAGTGACTTATTTAATAAGCTTTTTAGGGGAAGCTTTATGCAGAAAGCCAATTTTTTTCCAAACTTGCCCCTTCAAATTAAAAAACAGACTCTTTTCATCTATGAAAAAACCTTCCCTGTTTATACAAACGGATTAATCCACACATATAACTTCATCCATATATGACTTAATTGAAAACCAACCAAACATCCCCTAAGCCTGTTTTCGTTAAGATATCCGACTTGCAGAACAATTAGATTAAACAAACGAGTAAGAAAAAGTGAGACCGTGTACACAAGCGAGCAGACAATGTAATGGACCAGATAAAAGGGAAATAGGTTACACAAACGAGGAGGTCAAGGTTCAAACCTCACCAAAAGTGAGGAGTGTGTGAGTTATTTGTCTTGTATAAATATTATATGCTTCCAAAAAACAAGGAGATGGGGCACAAATCACAATATTAGACAACTACAACTACATGAAAAAAATATAGGACTAATGTATATAAATGGGTCACACACGTAGAAACAATAACATACACTACAACAAAATTGGATTTATAGGATGCCAACAATTTGTAAGTGTCCTGACAGACCAATTTATAGGACCAAACAATAAATGTCCTATCTAAAGGTGTTGTGATAAGTTCATAGGACGTTTTTGGACGTTTTAACAAGTTTTTTAGGCCAATTCTAATACAAAGCATCGCATTAGCTATTTTATAAGCTACTTTTGAAAAGTATCCTATTAACACATCTTTTTATAGGATACTTGTTTTTATAAGACATTGTTTTGTAAATAGTGTTTTATAGTAGCTAATACAATGCCTTTTTATATAAAGATGTCCTAAAAAACTTGTTGCAACCCTCAAAACGTCATGTAAACTTATTACAACACTTTTAGATTGAATGCTTGATTGCTTGGTCTTATAAATTAAGTCTTATAAAACAATCTATTAGTGCGCTTAGACATTTTTGGCGTATATAAACCCCATTTTGTTGTAGTGATATATTTAAGTTTAAACAAAGGTTTGTGTATAAACAATGATTGAATATGAAACTGTTTTGAAACTAAAGAAAAAGAACGGTTTTGATTAACATCTAACCTGACTGTTCTTCGAAAGACCCGCGTCATAAGTCATGGAGAGGTCAGGTTTAAAAAGCCCGAACGCCCTCTCAGAGCCCGGACCGGGCTTCAAATTCTCGTCATAGAGTGCAAATATATAGGTATCGATGGATTTTCCAGGCATTAATGGTGTTCCGACCTTTGATCTTAGGTGGTTGATCAAGTTACCGTTGTAGGCTTTCGCATTATCCACGCTGGGTCCAATCTCATTCGGGTCACCCTTGTAAGCCCACCCTGTTTCTGCAACCACGATTTCCGTGTCCTTGAACCCCATTGCATTTAGAGCAGACCTCACAGCATCTACCTATAATGTAAAAACTCTACATCAAATGATACGTTTAGCGGGTAATTTATGGCCATTTCAACATTTACGAAAAAACAATAAGCACATAGCGTTAAAATACGTACCATAAAACATTAAAACGATAAAACATCACCTAAAATGGATATCGAAAAGCATCATTTGATCATTCACGAATTTTTTGTACAAATATGCTATGTTCGGCAAACAATCTCATAAGCTAGCTGCATGGTAGCTATTAGCTGAAAAACTAGCTGTTAACCGTTAAATAAATCTTGTTTGGTACAAACTAACAGATAAACTAGATCATACTTAAAAATGTAGTTTGCAAATAATGATTTTTTTTTGTTTTCATGTCGTCATATCTGTTAAAAGTAAGCTAGACAATATTATTAGTATTTATTAAGTTAATTAGTAATTTAATATTTGATGTCAGTTATGGAAGTTATAGATATGCAGTTATGGTTGTACGGGTGTTTAGGAAGGGTTGTGTCTGTTAGTATGGTGTTGGTTCATGTATATATATATATATACATATATATATATATATATATGTATGTGCAGAAACTTTTCTGCAGTTTACTCTTTTGATCATTTTAAACTTCCTACAGATCTGTGTTGTTCTTTAGTTTTCTTCCAACAATATCATGTGGGAACTTAGTCAGCATCATCAAAGAAAATTAATGGAATTGGATTCTATTATCGTACGTTCATGTTACCGGTCACATGGAACCTTGTTCTTGTGATAAGATGCTTATCCATGATCAACTTTTTATTGACATATCAAAGGGACTTTCTAGCGGTACGTGAGTTTTTGGTTTTCGAGAAGGCCAGGGGTGCAAAGCCCATCAAATGTGAGTTTATTTGTTCAATTTGCCGTATATAAATATTATATACTTCAAAAAGAAAACTTTTTATTGACATTTACCATAGAGAAGTATTTTTGGGGTCTCTATAATAAAAAATAGTTGAATAATGAAATTAAAACAGTTATTTGATTGATTATATATTTCATGTCGCTATTACAAAGTTCTAAGTACTTATAAGTTATGACTTGGAAAAACTGGATGAAGATGTAACATATTTTGGTTTAATTCCTATTTTGTATAACATACTTCTAAAATTTCATTTTGGTAAACATTTAAACTACGTTACACAAAATAGTATTCGGATAAAATATGTTGCATTCATGCATTCTCAGATGTAAACTATGAATCTAAATACTTGAGATGTTACATTTGAGATACCAAAATAAATGTTTTTGAAGTACGTTATACAAAATAGGAATCGAATCAAAGTCCGTTGCACTTTCATGTGATTTACCCTTATAACTACGTGTGTGATTATCAATCTCGATTCAAGAAATGTGCATTGTATTAAAGGGGTAAGGAAGCATAAACTCACCTGGGCATCGAACATGTTCAGGTATTTGATACCGGTGGCTGAGTCGACTCGGCCAGAGTTGGGTTGGAAAAGACAAAACGCCAACGTTTCAGGTCGTGGGTCGCTCTCGTAAGCAAAGAACGGGTAAGGATTGATCATGAAAGGCGAGCCATTTGCACTGTGAAACTTCAGAAGTGATCTCATTGTGTCACTGAACCCAGAATTGAAAACTGCCGATGAAGGTGGATCGGAGGATGCCAGCACTGCCATTGAGTGTACCGTTGATACCTTGATTTTACCACCTAACGATGCTGCATAATTCATTGTTTTTTTTCATTAGTTTTAATTTTAATATCATTCGGTGTTTGGGATTATTTATTTGAAACAATTTATGCTTTTCTACAAAAACACTTATCAACTTATTAGAAGTCAGAAGAGTTTAACTTCTTCAAAAACTCTTTGTCACCGGTTTGGCACCGATATAAGTTATTTATCCAAACACTCAAAAAAATACTTATTACCGGTATCAAACCAATAAGTCAATAAATTGTTTTTATAAACAATCTCAAACACCTCTGGTTTCTAAAAAATTATTTAATACTGAAAAATACGATCCAAAAGATAAAATAAAAGAATATGCAGACCAGATAAAATGTTGCGTCATAGAAAATTAGAAATCGTATTTTGAACAAAATTCTAGTTGGACTATTTTGTATCATATTTATTTAAGAAAATATTTTACTCAAAGAATATTTAATTTGCATGTAACTTGATAAAAAAAAGTCAAAAAAATTAAATGTTTTATTAATTTGAAATAAGTTTTTATTTTTATTTTAATTAAGTCATCAAAATGATATGACATCCACATCACCTCATTAAAGCCACACAAGCAAAAAAAAAAAAAAGGGATTAACCGGTTTTAACAAACTAAGGGGGTGTTTGGGATAACTTATTTGAAACAACTTATGTTTTTTTACAAAAACACTTATCAACTTATTATAGGTCAGAACAGTTTAATTTTTTCAAAAACTTCTTATTACCGGTTTGGCACCGGTATAAGTTGTTTATCCAAACACTAAAAAATGTTTGTTATCGGTATCATACCGGAATAAGTCAATAATATATTTTTATAAACAATCTCAAACACCACGAAAGGATAAAAAACGTTCCTTTACTCTAAATATTAATATTAAAGAAAAGAGAAATGAAGCATCCGTGGAGCGAAATAGAATGAAACCTGCGTTAAGGGCATTTTGGACATTTTGCATGGCAGGCAGACAAAGGGACACAAGACTTTGGTCGACTGAGCTCATGACTTCATTACCAACCGTGATGACGATGATCTTGCTATCAGGATAAGCCAACACGTTCGAGTTGACCCACTGAGTCGCAAAATTCGGGTCCGACGCCAATGCCGGTATATCGCCGTTCGCTGCTCCGATCACGATTCCGATTCCGGTATTCGCTAGTGCGCGGATGATCGCAGGATCCGCACCGTACATCCTCACTTTACCGATGGACGTCGACTGTAGAAGCTTCGCCGTAGCCTCCGGAGCTGGAAGATTGTCGGCGACTATGCCGTAGTTTACACCGATAAACGATTGCGAACCTGCAGAAACAATACAGCCAGAAAATAACTCGATTTCAGCGTTCTAAGTCGTAAATCTGCTTTACCTTTTACACTTTTAGCTTTGGTTACTTAAAAAGTGTTTTGCCTTTATGAAATCGAGCAACACAAATATAATTGGAGCAACAATTCCGCCGGTGTTAGATCGGTCGGTGCAAAATTGTTTCCGAATCACATCAATGGCTCTCGTATTTGAAATGTAAACGGATCAGATCGCACAGATTCGAAAGTTCGATATCTAGAAATTAGCGATTGATTAAGTAACTAGACACGATTAAAACGCTCATGATCTGAATAACTTACTCGCAAAGCTAAAAAATTGCAGTAGAAAGCTGCATAGAATGACGAAAATGAGATTCTGTACATAACTCGCCGGCGGCGCCATGTGTCTACCTCCACTGTAACTGTGTGCTAGAGAGAGTGAACTTAATCCTGATAAGGAATTGAAGAGATTGATTGAGTGTGAAAGGGGCTAATGGAGTAGAAATTTTGAAAATTGTGGGGGATGGGGGGCCTGGAGTGGTTGGATATTTGTCGTCTCCTCCGGTGTGGCGGTGGCGGTGGGTGGCAAAGGAATAAAAACTAACGTACGGTCACGGTGGTTCATTAATGGGTAGTAGATGGTCAAAATAAATGTCTATGAAATAGTGATTGAATTTCGGGTCCGTTTGTAAATTACTAAGAAAATTCCGTTTGTAAATGGAATTTTTTAGATTTGAATGAAAAAGAGAGAAAATATAGTAAGGGGTGTTTGAGATTGCTTATAAAAATAATTTATTATTTTTTGGTGTGGTACCGGTAATAAGTATTTTTGAGTGTTTTGATAAACAATTTATACAGTGCCAAATTGGTAATAAAGAGTTTTTGAAGAAGTTAAACCATTCTAAGGGGCTGTTTGGCAGTTGCTGAATGATTTAGTGCAGAATAGTTAAGAGGTCAGAATGGTTGAGAGGGTCAAAATGGTTAAGTGCTGAATGGAATAATGTTGTTTGGTAATTGTTCTCTGAATGATAATATATTACCATTTTAACCCTCTCTAACAAAAACCCATTTATTCCATTTTAACCGTTAGGGCTCCCTCAAAGTTATTGTAACCATTAAGAGGGTTGTTTTTTTTTTTGCCAAACAGACCTAACCTCTTACAGATTAAGAGGTTGGCTCTTAATGTAACCATTAAGAGCCAAACAAACATCCCCTAACTTATAATACGTTAATAAAGACTTTTGTAGAAAAACATAAGTTGTTTCAAATAAGCAAATCCCAAACACCCCCTATATATATATGAGTGGTACGTGAATGAGAAATCAGTAGGGATGTTTGCGGTATAGTTTAGGTGTTAGCAGTTTAAATTTTTTTTTGTCACACCGGATTTCGAGGACAATTTGGAATTTTAGATTCTGATTTTTGATGGATTTCGAGATCTTGTCTATTTAAAGACTACAGACAACGGAGAAGTGAAAACTAAAAACTCAATGTCTTCGTTAGATTTTTTTTAACTGGGCATTTAAGTCTACAACATGAAAACTAAATATAATTAATAAACATATATTGTGGTGGTCAGTTCGGCCAAACACTCAAAAAAATGTTCAAACCACGTAGATTGGATTGGACTGAACGGCTTGACTATTTTTCATATCGAACAAGACCGCTTAAATGAGATGAAATTGGATCGATTTCTAGGTTTCGTCGTAAATCTAGTGGACGTATTTCTTCTTATCTGTTCTTTTATTTTTATTTTTTATGTATTAATTTGTTTATTAAGCTATTACTTTTTTAATCTGTAATTTACTACGTAACCCAATTCGTTTTTCAGATAATGTTCGATCATGTGGTCCCGAGGTAAGGAATAACCAGTTACGCTAAAAAATGACAAATACTATTAAAAAGATAATAACTAGACCGACACATTTTTTAATATTAAAACTTGACTATAAATTGAAAAAGTAAGGTATTGTTTAATCAGATAAAACGGAAGAAAGTCTGTAATAATAATTAGGAAAAAATTCAAAAAAACCTAACGGACTTTTTCATTTTGAATGATTTAATTTTTAAACTATTTTTTTAATAAAAAACCGTTAAATTTTTTTATTTTAAACGATTAAGTTTCTAGATATTTTATTAATAAATAAACTATTACACTTTTAAAAATTGTTTACTTACATTCTTTTAATCCAAAAAAAGTTATATTAACTGACTGGTAAAGTTTTTATTATTATTATTTATTTATTCAATGTCTTGATCATTCAAAATGTGAAAGTTTAATGTTTTTTTCATTAAAAAAACAGTTCAAAGATTTAATCATTCAAAATGATAAAATTTAATAGTTTTTTTATTAATATAAAGGAATGCAGATAAAATAACATAGCCATCAGAGATGTTTTAATACATTAGTGTTAAGAGGATTTTGATTCGAGTTTAGCATGTGAAACTTCTTTTTAAATTCTCATCAGTACGAGTCAATGGAATGGCTCCCTGGCCTTTGATATCCATATAAAGGACATGACGAGCATAAATACCCTTTTTAACTTCTATTTTGACAGACTGGATATCTTTTATAAGAAATCAGAGGAAGACCCGACGATTCTTTCTAGGAAATCCCCACCGAAAGATACACACTATCCCGTCTTTTCTGTCAAATCGATCATAACCACTGCCTACATTCCACGAAATTGTGTACCATAAATAGGAGCTAATAAAAAGACCCCCGATCCTGTAGAAAGATATCACAATTCCTTGTGGGAAAAAAAAACTATTTCCTGAGATGGAAATAAATATATCAAATTTCTACCAAGATAACTGGAGGTTCCAACCAACAAGAATACTAATGAACCTAAAAAAAGGATAACATCCCAACAGAAGTTACTTGTTTTTCGAGCAACTCAATGTTTGAAACGAAGTTTATATGAAAAAGTAATATATTACTTTTATGTATTAAAATGATTTAGGAGTCGTTTTATCAAGCACTAACTAGGTTAGTGATTATCAGGTATCATTTATCTTCCAGATGAATATGTCAAGGACCAAAAATCTTACTCGGTAAGTGAAGGAGAAGACTCTTATCACCTGAGTGCTTATCGGGTTAAAGATGCTTACCAACAATATATTTTAGTAGCTGAAAATATTACCTGATAACGTAAATGAGGGTGATGCTCACTGTCGCTTGCCTAGACCCGTCTCGTCTAGTGTTTGTCATGTTCTATCTTGTTTGTGTTCCAATGCATCGTAAAGAATTTATGCAACATACATAAGAATTTCAAACAAATGAAGGTTGATAGTTTCCGGAATAAACCCTCTCATAAATCTATCCCAAGTTAGATTTTTATGTAATATACATAAAACCCCGATAAAAATCATCAATTTTGAGTTCGTTGTAGAACGGATTGATTAATTTCAAAATATACCATGTAATATGATACAAGGTGGAGATTCAACCGAGAACATATTCATTTTACAAGAACGGGAGAACACCTTTATCTCATGTGATAATACATGTAAGGGGATCTGGTGGTGTGCGGACGACGTGTCCGTGACTTAGGTCGCACCAAAGGTCGTTTACGTCTATGGTTTAGTGTCACATGTGATGGATCATAGTATCGAACACTTTTATCACATGTGATAATATATGTTAGGGGGTTAGTGGTGTAAGGGCTACTTGACTCGCAACCTAGATTGAATTGAAAGTCGTTCGGGTCTCTGATTTAGTATCACATTTGTATCATATGTGATAGTTATAGTATCACATGTGATTGTCTATAGTTAAATGATGTTCTCGTGTTCTTGTAAAATGAAGATGTTCACGTTTGAACTATTCTTTATGATACAAAGCAATACACACACGCACACACATATATATTCATATAGGGTTGGGTTCCGGTAAAAAGAAGAGTTAAAGTGAAAAGCGGAAGAAGGGACCATCACCCTTGGATACACATTAGAATGAGATGCACCGGATCAAACCCGTATCAAGCGTGATTCATGAGTGAGTTTGAAATTAAAGGTGATCAAGAGTACAGATCCCTTCTTACGCTTCTCATCTTAACTCTTCTTCTGACACAATTTTTCGTCTAACCCAATTTATGGTGATAACTTTATAAACCTATCACAACCAATTATCTTGTGAATCAATGTATGACATTTATGATGACAATTTTGTAATAGCTAATAATATAATAGGTTACCATCCAAGACTAAGATGAACATACAAACAAGGTATTATTGAAAAAAATTCATAAAGGCATGGATGTTTTGTAACTGCCCATGTGTATATTAATCCATTGTCTTACCTAAAAAGTGAGTAACGAAGCATTTACCAAATAAATTATTACATATGATAACCGTTTTAAGAACCAAAATCTTAACCAATAAATCAAATGAAAGCGTTACAAGAGTTGGTAAATGTCCCTAAAAACTTCTAATTTTTAAACTACAAAAAAGTCATATGATACGTGAGAAAGGGTGACCATCTGTCCTTAACACTCGGTAACTTATAGACGATTATTTACAAAATTAACCGAGTCGACTCACCAAACGAGACAAGGAGTGCAATTGTTTCAGCAAATACAATACGCAAAAGAGGCAACCTTTTCTTGAGGAAACAATGTAATGACGATACAAACAAACAAACAAACAAACAAACAAACAAACAAACATAAATCAAATCCAAAAAACAGAACTCAATCAGCAACAAATTCTGCTAAATACGCGCAGATTGCTACAACTCAACCCAACCAATATATATGTTCAATAGTAACTAAAATAACATCAGCATTCAAAAAGCCCAATCGTATTTGAAAAAAGCAAGTTACCCTCCAGAGTGAGATACAGGGGTCGTCACAAACTGTCCATCCTTGTAACTATGAATGTATTGTTGTGGCAAAGCATGCTCCACCTGCAACAATAGCAGGGTCTGAGAGGGGTAGGATGTACACAAATTGTAAGATGATGAAAAGAACGACATACATGAATCATATTATATTATGCAACACATAATATGCATATACATATGCATATATAATCATGTACGTAATATAACACATACAATATGTATGTATATATAAATATGTATATAAAAGAGCTAACTAACTTCAGATTTCATCTCTCAGATTTTGAAATTACAAATCTCTCTACTACTTGCAATTTCTTATGGATTTGGTCCATGAGACTAATGGCCATTAAGCGTCTCCCTTTACGATCCCCCATGTGTCCCTCATGAGGGGGCATTTTGGTCATTTGCTTCTTGATGAAAACCCTTATCGCTTTCTCCTTCTCATCCTCTCTAGCTTAACCAGATGAAGAACCAAGAACCCAACCGAACCGCCTTTGAGAAAGAGTGATTTAAGATGAATACACATAATTTTGGTGCATTAGTTAGGTGGCGTTTGTTTTTTAAGAGGTGCTGAATTCTGAAGTCTTATTTCACTTCTGACTAATGCTGAAGTCTGAAATCTGAATCGATAAGACTGTTTGTTTTTGTAAAGTGATATATGTCTGAATTTGTTTAAATTGTCTATTTTAGAGATTAGAAAACTATAGTGTTGAATTTATAGATAAATTAATAAAATTTCACATATTTATTCATCATCATTACAAAATTTACATCTAAATTATATAATTAGCATTCATTTACACGAAAAAATGACACGTTAAGGTATTTAACACATTTAAATCATATTAAAAATACATTGAGACAGGTGAGGATAGATTCTATCATCGATTAAGGTTAATCGTGAGAAACACCGTTACTTAGAGTTTGGAGAACAATAAAAGGCAAAAAAGTGGTTGGTTTACCTCTTACCAGATAAGAGGAGAATAAGACATAAGTGTCTCTAAAAAGTTGGAAAAACAAACGGTCTGAATCACCCTACCTCTTAACGAATCAAATATAAGAGGCTGATAAGAGCTTTTTCTGAAAAACAAACAAGATTTTGCTATAACCAACTCCTCTGCCTTTTAGTTCCATCTTATTTACCTTCTTCTTGCACATCTTTATGTGCAAGAGAAATAGAACTATTAGATGTAGAACCTTGCATTTGGAGGCTCATCACGGCATGCTACTTAGTCCTGTCCTAGCCCGAGTCGAAAATTGCACTAAACGTGGGACAAGTTTTTTGTATTGTCATCTCCCATCCCACATGCCAAACACACCCAGATTTTAAGGTATTTCATTTGTCATGCTAATCATAATTGTGAATAAGTTTCACCTCCTAAGCTGGCAGTCCTACTTAGGGGCGGTTTGGTTAGTTTTTCATCAAGTCCTGTATGGATAAAGCTATCTGCTTGGATTAATTTGTCTGTATAGATTTAGAATGTTTTTGTTTGGGAGAGTTTTTCATAAATGGAAGGAGCATGTTTTTAATTGGGAGAGGCAGGTTTGGAAAGAAAAAGAAACTTGGCTTTCTGCATAAAGCTTCCCCCTAGAAGCTTACTGAATAAGCCACTTTCCATATTATTAAACCACTACCAAACAGTCATGTATAGCTGACAAAATAAGCTATGAGACCCATTAAGCTCATTAAGCTGCTAACGAAAGGCCCTTAGATCGATACCTATGTGTTTTATCAACTGGCATGCATCCCATTTATGAGAAGTATATAGGAAAAAGAATAGTCTGTGATTTCTTTTTGAAAATGAAGAATTGGAAGAGGGCTGGTGCCTGGGCTCAAACCCAGGACCTCACACAGTCGCCAAACCGTAGTGTGGGTGTAATCCATATTATACACTTGTTCATCGCCTATTATTTCTGAAATTTAATCGGTGCTTCAATGGCTATGTGAATTGCATAAACAATCAGCCATTTGAGCATTTAGGAAGAACTCAAATTGTAGCATGAGATGATGAGTTAAACGCACGATTGATTGACTTAGGGGAGAGAAGCACAAAACAACGTAGCTTTGTGCACGCCACAATGAAGGTTGGTTGTCAGCTGTCACAACTATGCTTTAGCCTAACTTCTATCCACAAACAAACAAACAAACCTTCTTAACAATGAAGTAGTTAGAAGTCCCCACCACCTCCTGAGGCATCCATTTTAAAAGTCAAAAATTGACTAATTCCAGGATGTAATATACACTTAATTTTTCTACTTTCTTCTCCTTTTTTAAGCTTATCTACGAATGTTCAATTAATAAACTTATTTCGTACATGTAAACTAGTACTTATCTAATATCATTGAAGGATGTACAGTGAAATTTTAATGATAATGGTAAGGTCATCTAGCTCTCATCATATTTCTGTTAAGTTGCTTCTTTGTCAAAAATGAAGAAAAAAATTAACTCAGAAAAAAGAAGACTGAAGAAAGAAGGCATACCAAATCATCGTCAGGGCCAGAGGCAGGCACCAATACATTGATTTCACTTGACTTGGCGGTTGTTATTGAAGCCTCTAGAGAATCTTTGCTTAAGTACAACTGGCACCCTGATGAGTTGTCCACTGAAATAGTCGGAGCAGTACCCTATAATTGTCCCCATGGAAAACCATAAGAGCCAAGTTCATAGTTACAATAATGACCAACCTATTATCATACAAGCATTCCATGATATAGTAGAAACCACTCAAGGACTTCAAGAATAAAATAAATTACTACAGTCATCAAGCATAAGAAAACTGTTGGGGAATTTAATCACTACATCGCAGCAGATATAAGATGGATACCTGGCATTGCACCTCAACACTGTTGCAATTAACAATTTCGCAAGCAGCAACAACATCCTGTTTTTAGAGTTCAAGAGTCAGTGTGCATTTTCTCAACTAACACTCAATCATGCCTTATAAGTACATTATCAGTTTCCAAACTGACCGTGAATACAACACCCATTTTTGTGCATTTGTCAACAGTTATGTTGTTAACTTTCCCTGCACAAAGTAATTAGATATATCTTAAATGAGATTTGTCAAGAAAACCATAGACGAACAAACAGCAAACTCTAGACTCTTTCATCCGAAACATTTCTCTTTTCACACAATAAAAAGATAACTCAATAACCATGAATAGGGAAAGGAACTTAGAAACAGAATGCAGTACCTTTAATCTGTAGAACTGAATCTTTGCATCCAAAAATGTACACCGTCTGCTTTGAATCACACTTATCAATCGATAAATCCTTCTTCCCAATTTGATTCTCAACAACCCATCTGCATGTCATGAGAAAGGAAATGCACCACCATCAACAACATGATGCAAATTTTTTGTGGCAATCATGAAGCATAGCACAAACTTATATGTACTCACTTGCGACCCATTTGAAGCTCAAACTTTGGAGGCCCAACTTTAGAAACAGATGGCACAGTTGAACGAACTTCCTCTTCACCAGCACTTACGAAGCCAGCTCTATCTGCACGGTTCTTGGTCTTCATATCATCTGTAACCTTTCTTAATCCTAAAGACAGAGTGTCAATAAAGCAAATAAGCCTAATAATAAAGAAGGGACATTGGACAAAGAAAAAAGGAAAGCTACCAGCAGTTACTGGCTTTGAACCAATTTCTTGAAAAACAGCAGCCATTCCTTCCTTTGGGCGGGATGAAGATGGCTGAGAAGACTCCGAGGTGAATAGTGAGGCAGGCGGAGGCGGTGGAGGAGCAGGAGCACTTGGTTTAGATGCTTTTGGTGGAGCAGATACAGCAGCCCCTGTAGCACTCCATACAGGCCCCAACGGGTATTGACTTTTCACATAATCTCTCAATCCAGGTATATAAAGTTCCTTTAGAGCTCTTGCCCACTCCACATGATTCGCGTCTTTATTTCTATATTCTACAAGAACCTACACAATCCCCAACATCAATATATTAGCAATGACAAGCTCATAACTTCAGAACTTCTAATAGCCAAATGGAAGTGTAAGAGTGGATAAAAAGAAATTCATATAAAGATGTGTTCTTGCCCAGCAAATAGTGGGATTACCTATTTGTCTAATCACTATTTAGAAAATATATGATAGAAGATTACTGACTAAGAATCAAACCATAAACAAGGACCTAGTAATGCAAGCGGCTGTTAAAATAAAAATGGAAACCACCTGATTATTGTCTTCTAAACTACCTACAACTAGAACATGAAAAGAAAGAAAAAAAATGGTTAGCAGAATAGTCCTTTCAGCTGCTTGTAGCCCTCATAAGGAATTTGGGTTTGACCACATACATGAAGTACTTTTAGATAAAATGGCAACGGATGATACCTACCGTATCAGAATTTTGAAAACCTCTACAATTATAAATAACCAATACACTTGACTAGACATAAAACGTTGTTCGTGCAACAGCATAGAACTTTCTGCCACCAGAGATGGTTCCCATGAACTGTTAGATGCATCAAATAGAAACCAGTAATGAGGCCCAACACGGTTTTCCATCTATATATGGATATCTTTGCATGTTTAGTCCATCCAGAAAAGCAGAGTCTTGCTTTAAAGAAAAAACTTGCGTTATTTTCACAATATTTCCCCGTGTTTATGAATCCTATCACAACTATTTTTACAATAAAATGCCTCTTGACTTGAGGGTTGTACCCAACCTCTAAAAGACACTCAAATTCCCAATACTTGATTTGGCATTATATTTTGTTAGATTGTTATATCCAAAACCTTTGAATTCAACATTGGTGCATCTGAGTTGCCAAGATTAGAAACAACACAATCCTATAAAGAAAATCAACCTTACATAAATAAACTTATAAAGAGAGAGACTATAGTACCTTATTGTTGTAAAATTCAGCCGCCTGCCAAGATTCTTCCACATGTGCAATGGGCATGCTCATTCCTGGAGAAATGACATCTGACAGTAAATACCATGATGCAAGACCCAATATGGGCTTTCTCGAAACACAAAGCATGAAGAATGCTTCTCACCACAATCTTTGCCCACATATGCAATCCATGCGAGAGCTGTCAGACTCTCGGCAACAGATTTCAAGTGGTTGAAGAAATCCGACCTCCTTCCCTCTGTCATGCTAATTGCTTTCATTAATTTTTCATTTAATGGCTTCAGGAATTCACCCAATCCTGGCACATCAGGTTTCTGCATGATAATTAAGCAAAAAGATTATCAACATCGTAGCATAAACTAAAAAATATCAAATAACGAGAATTGTGAGCCATGGGAAATGGCACAATGAATAGGATTCATTCCAGGACTCCTCGGTTGAACAACTAAACAAAATCTAACTGATCATTCAGTATCAAAGGAAACAGAACCGATTTTGGATAAGTTGGCTTCACAACTGAAAATTGAAGTTGAACATTTTAACAGATCCATTTCTAAGAGACCCAGCAACATCATTCAGGTTTCATTACAACACTTGTACATCATTTAATGGTGGCATGAAGCAATGAAAACTGTAGGGGATGCTTGTTTTTTTTTTTTTGGGGGGGGGGGGGGAAGGGGGAATGGGAATGATAATGAATAATGGTGTTTGGTTCAATATAATGAAACGAGACATTACTTAAAAGTGGATAATTATCCATACCCTAATAAATTGGGGGAATGAATTTTCTTCCCCAATATTGTCATTCCTTATTATACCCATACCCATCTCCATTCCCTTAGAACGATCCCCTGATACTCAGACATAACAATCCGAAACGCATACTATGAGCTTAATTTTCAATTCGTGAAACCATCTATGGTCAGATTTCAAGAACAAACGTAGATACTAATGATCGGTTTACCAACACTAACCGGGTGACAATCATCACCCCAACTTACCTTACCAGGGATGGTAAGATTGTTGGCAAATGCCTCGGGTAAGCGCTAAACCGGGTAATTATATAAATAACTAAGCTTTACCAAGTCAAAGTGAACAACTTAGGATTCTTTTTTGTGTTTATCCTAAGTAGGTTGTCATCCCCTGTATCCATCATGTTTTATCTCATAGTTTGTTACATAAGCTTAGCTATATCTCTAAAATCTTTTTGTATAAATACCCCTTTAGTTAATGAGACCATTATCACTTTCTCATAGCCTCTATCCTTCATTATATGGTATCAAAGCTTTGATCCTCCCTTCTCGTTCTTAGTTATACTCGGTGATCTCCTCCATGGACTCCCACCATACTCTCCCAAACCTTGGTGACCCTCACAAGCTACCTCACATGGAAATCACAAATCGAGGCAACCCATATTTCCATTTTGTGGATGGATCACACCCACCACCCTCGAAATCATAACCAAAGCCGACAAAGCCGACCAAACCGAGCCAAACCATGCCTATACATCTTGGATACACCAAGACAAGCTACTTTCGGCACCCTATCGCCCACCCATGGTCCTCTTGTCACTCGGTCCATTACAACCAAGGAGGCATGGATATCCTAGCCGGTGCGTACGCCAACCCATCTCGTGGCCATGTCAAAGAACTGAAGGCTCAACTCTGCAACAATCACCAAAGGATCTCTCTCTATTACAGAATTCATGCACAATAAACGAACCATGGATGAATTAGCACTCTTGGGCACTCACATCCCTCAAAAAGATGTCACAGATGTCTGATCGTATCCTTGATGGACTGGTGAAACCTACCAATCTGTCATTGATGCAGTCCATACATGTGACTCTCCGCTATACTTCAAAGAGCATAATAAGAAGCTCATAGACAAAGAACATATGCTTGCGGCACTAACCAAAAATGATTGATTTCCAGCAATGGCAAATCCTACAAAAACTCTACGGAACAACAATGGAAACTCACACTTTTCTAACCTTCCCCCCCCCCCCCCCCCCCCCCCGGGGAAACAACCCTCCAGCCATCCAACCAAGCACTTTAAGTCATTTGAAGGAAAATTCCAATGGGGCAATGTGAAGGGCCACACTCTTGCTTACTACCCAACCTTCAAAGAGCTCCACCCCAATACCCACCACCCAACCCGGAGCTCATATAACCTAACCACTACCCATGCTGCCTCTTCACCTCAAGACACTTCGAAATGACTACTAGACAGCGGAGCAAGTCAAAATGTCACCACCAACCTCTCTCCACTCACCTTACAATGGGACGGATGAAATAGGAATCGGCGTTGGATCTGGACTTCCGATTTCACGCATCGGTTCCTCTTCTCCATTCCCTTCTCATTCCCTTAAATGATCTAATATTCTTTGTGATCCCTCCATGCACAAAAACATCATCTCAATTCGTCACCCCCACTTACGAGGCAAGAGTCTCAGTCCCTGTTATTAATGTTTATTTATGGCCCCTAGGCCCTAACTAACTGAATCAGACAGAAAAAAGAAAAAACACACCGGCGCCAACTTATATCACTAATCGAAGTTCTTAAATACACAATACGTTATGATGCAATTAGGAATTAAATAATAATCCGTTAAAAATAACCTTAGTTTGCTTGATCTTGATGAGAAGGTCCTTTTGAACAGAGAAAGCCTCATTAAGAACATTAGTAACCTCCTGAACTTGTCCCCCAATCTTCGCCGCAGCACTCGAAAGCCTGCCGACGTACTCCGTCAAAAGATCGTCAAATGCGAGAATCGAGGGATCCGACGATGCGGCAATCGCATCAAGGTCGATGCCTCGAGACTGCGAACCAACAGAAAGCGACTCCAGCCGTGCTACGGCGGACTCCAACCGCTGTAACAACTTCTCTTCCATTTTAGGGCGGTCCTCCGCCTTCGTCTCTTCCTCTCTCTCTCTCTAGAATATAGCAGATAAAAGCAGATCTGGTATCACTGGCACTGAGTCGTGGGCTACCTTTTTTTTGTCTTTTAAACGCCGAAAGCCAAAATGTGCGTTTGGGAGATGATATCGGTTTATGTTTTTTCAACTCTTTTTCGTATATAAATTGGAAATTTTGCAACGAACTCCCCAAAGTTTAACATAATTACAGAGGGGTCCTTACACTATGACTATTTACAATTTTGAAAAAAATATGATATTGTTGACAGATAATTCCGTTGAACGGATGCACCTTTAAAGCAAATTAATGGCTCGTAAAATTGTCTGATGTGTTTTTAGTTGGATCACACTGTTTCAAGGAGTTTTTAAGTTTCTTTGTTTGATTTTGAAAGATTTTCAAGTTTTTTTGGTTGATTTCGATTGATTTTTTCAGGTTTTTTTGTTGATGTTTATTGTATTTTCTAATACCATGAAGCATCCTTTAGATTTTAACGGGTACATCTTTTATTAGTGGAGAGGGTGCAAGACCCTCTTGGGACCTTCATTTTTCCATTTAGGTTTGGTTTGTTTTGATATATAAATTGATGGATATTCTCTAGTTTTTTATTCTGATTGAAAATTTAAAAATGGGTGATCAAAAATCTTCGATTTTAGGTCGTGGGTTGTGTTGGTTTGGATTCGATTGATAATGGTGGCCAGTAGAGATCGAGAGCATCAGGTCTTTTAAAGGATTAGGAACAAAGATCCAGAGCCAGAAAGATTGACTGTATTGAATGTCTGAAAAGAAAACAAGAGATTTGGTTACCAATTATTTTTTTCAGAGTACTTTAACAAATAAGAAGCTTCGGAAAAAAAAAACGAAAAAATAAACAGTCTGAATTACAAAACGTCTGATCGAATTAGACATAAATATCAATTAAACGCTGAAACTAAAGAACCGAACAATGCCTACAAATATTGGTGCACAATTATTGTCTTTATTGCAAAAGCTATATTTCAGATACTGTTTCTTGAGAATGCACGCGAGAAAAAAGTAAGTGCACATGTTAACAAATAGACTAATAATAGTTTCAGTAACTTGGCTTTAAAGATCAAAAGTATCAGGAGATCTCAGGTTTAAATTCAAGCAGGAATATAAATCTTCTTGTGACCATGGAGGTTCAAATGAGGTAACTCCGGACTATCTGCAAAGCAGGTGGTCGTCCTGGGATTAGTCGGCTCGCATAGCAGGTTGGATATCCAGGTTAATCACACACAAAAAAACAGTGTTGGATTCAATTTTTTTTATTAACCTGGATATCCAACCCATTATGTGAGCCGACTAATTCCAGGGGGACCACCTGCTTTGCAGGTAGCCTGGAGTCATTGCGTTTGAACCTCCGTGGCCACAAAAGGATTTTTGTTTCTTCTTGGATTTGAACATGTGACCTCCAGACACATTTGACCTTTGGAGCCAAGCTCAAACCAATCAGGCACCGCTCTTGTGGTTAAAAAAAATTAAAATTAAAATTGTTGAGCAGGCATACCTTTAAAGCAAATCAAAGGCTCGTAAAATTTTCTGATGTGCTTTTAGTTGGATTACACCATTTCGAGAAGTTTTTAAGTTTCTTTGGTTTATTTCGATCGACTTTTTCAGGTTTTTGTCGATATTCATTGTATTTTCTAATATCATGAAACACCTCTTAAATTTTAACGTTACGAGTTACAGTTCTAGTCAAAATGTCAGTTGTTGCAAAAATACTGTAAACACGGTAATGTAAACGATATCGTAATGTATAAACATTAATCATCGACTTCTACACTAATTTTCGATTAGTTTGGGGTTCGAGTATACAAAATAATCAGCTTCTGAGTATCAAGAGACAAAGAACTAAACATATTTACATATGAAATACTTGTAGCATCGGTATCTCGGTTTAATAGCAAGAAAGAACCACAAAAATTCGTCCCTTTGAAAAAGATAACACAACATGCGCAAAAACGATGCCGATTTCTGTAAATAGACAATCTGGAAACTCGTATACCTCCTAGCTAGTATGCACGGTTTTTTCAAGTAGACAAAGAATCATCGCTATTCATCATTACCCGTTGGTAAAGGAACTTTACCGGCGGCAGATGCATCCGGACGGATCGTGGTTGTGTCCCTCGGCGGCCGAGGGTCCTGTAAGTTGCAAATAACACATGTGAGAATATGTGGAAAAAAAAACCATTAGATTATTCTTCAAAATAGCGTTTAACGAGGTTCCGACATATAATAAGGAGAAATGGTCCAACTCTAGCGATCTGGGACTCTTAACACAAACGGAGGCTAGAAGGGCACAAATTGTCCCAGAGTGGTACACCTCAAAAGAGCCCTTAAGGAGAAAAAGGAGGTTCCAACATATATCGAGAAGAAATGGTCAAAATCTAACTGATGTGGGATTCTAACAACACGAATGCACAAAGAGACTAAAGAGAGAGCATCGAGAGAGTTTACTCGGCCAAAAGTTTTGTGCGCTCGTATTGGACATGGGAATTGTTGGGGAATTTTTGGCATTTTGCAGTATTCAACACCGGTTCATGTGTTACGAATATTGCCTCAATAATGTCGACTAGTTATGACTATTTCTACATCTACTGGTAGTGACATATGAGTTTTCACTATATCATACAACGATACAAACAAAATAAGAGCGTAAGACGTATATATATACAAGGGCTTAATCATTTGAGAACTCCATATATTGTGAGAACCCCCCTATAAAGACGAGGATCATGTGAGAATAGGAGTTAAGATGAAAAGTGTAAGAAGGGATTTGGACCCTTAGATTACTTTTAATCTCAAACAAACCTATGAAGTGCACTTTGGAAGGGAATTGATCTGGTGGTTCTCATTCAAACCAACCCATAAAGTGCACTTTGGAAGGGAATTGATCTGGTGCTTCTCATTAGTGTTGATCTAGTGAAACTTTTCAATTAGGATTGATTCAAGTGTGGAAATCCCTTTTTACTATTCTCATCATAAATCTCATTCTCACCGAAACAAACCCTGTATCTATACACTTGATGCAGATAAATTGATTGGATTTGACAAACCGATAACACCGAGGTTTGACTCAACATGATGGTGTGGCACTAATGAAAGATGAATACAACCAAAGAGAGTACTTACTCTGCGGAAAGGGAACTCATCTGCCTCGAGCATGTGTACAATATGTCCCATCTTTGGACGCATACTCGCATCCATATCTGTACAACAAAGGCAAACTAACAATACTCGTTTTAAGGCTCGTGGAGAAGGCTGTATCTCAATCTTTGGATCTACCAAATCCTCCCCCCGACGACTTGCCACCATTCCTCTAAACCAGTCAACCAGGTTCATCTAAAATACAGTCAGCATGTATAGATATTTAACAAACAGGGTCTATCTGTGAGTGTGTGTGAGCGAGGTAAACGGGTCAATCTATATGCGAGAATACGTGGAATCCCCAGATCAGTTACTCTCCAAAAGAGCCCTCGAGAAGAGAATGGAGGTTCCAACATATATTGAGGAGAAATGGTCAAAGTCTATCCGATGTGAGACTCTAACATGCCCCCTCCAAAGGAAACTAGACGAGCACTGATTGTCCCATAGTGTCTCGAGGGGGGGCTAGACAAGTACAGATTGCCCTAGAGTGCCGAGTTCATAGAGTGGTAGACCTCGATCAGATACCATGTCAGAATATATGAAATCCCCATATCACTCTCCAAAAGAGCTTGAGGAGAGAACGAAGGTTCTAACATATATTTGAGGAGAAATGGTACAAGTCTAGCTCAATGGGTTTTATTATTTGTTCTCAAAAATGATAAATTTGAAATTGTACCTCTCCAGGTGCCCGAGAGTGATCAACTGGGCTCCTTCCGGTAACTATTTCCATTAGGCAAACTCCAAAACTGTAGATGTCGCTTGCCTCATTAAGCATCCCCGTGCTTGCATAGTCAGGCGACACATATCTACAGATCATCGACCGCAAGAATTTTTAGCCATCTGAAATTTGACATGAATCAGAGGGACAACGAAACTAACCCAAATGTTCCCATTACTCGTGTAGTAACATAGCTTTTCTCAGATTCCAGTAACTTGGCAAGTCCAAAATCAGCCACTCTTGCGTTCCATTTTTTATCCAGAAGAATATTGCTTGATTTAACATCACGGTGAACAACTTTTGGTTCCAATCCTTCGTGTAAGTATGCCAATCTAAGCGAAATACCAGATATAAATAAAACGTCTGCGAGTGGAATTAGTGCTAATACACTATATTTCCTGTGCACAAGTGAATTGCAAGTTTGTGATCCCAACGTCCCAAAATATGCATACATATTTCTATTTTAATTTGTCCCAAAATAAGTATTAAGTTTAAAAAGCAATTGTCTACTTTCCGATTCCATCTTTAACTATGAGATGTAGAAATTCATTATTCCCTCCATTATTAAGGATAAAATTGTCATTTAGTTTATTAAAACATGTAATAATTACATATTTCTAAAATGTATGCCCTTTTTCATTGTGGTCTTTTATTTTGGAATCGACATGGAACTATATGCCATGTGCTTGGGTCACAAAAACAGTCTCCTAGAACTTTTCGAAGGAAAAATATAGTACAAAGACTTTCCAATCTTTGTAAACTTGAGGATTCTTGGTGCACCAGGGTCACTCTTTAGTCTCTCTTTTTTCTTTTTTTGTTAACCGTGGGTGTCCGGACCAGCTTACTTGCACCTCAACTAATCCTAAGGGCCCCGGAGGAGAGCAAGGAAAATCCCCGGTGGCCTTGCAGCACTCGAACAGAGCCCAACAAGTCTCATTGCCAGTTGAGTTAACCTCACGAGGTTTCACTCTAGGCTTTACGGACATGAAAGAAAGAAAAACGAGAGCATACCCTTTTGCAGTCCCAACAGCAATCTTCATTCGGATGTCCCACGTTAGAGGGCTAGTAGGTCCTACGTCTCCATGCAACCATTGTTCCAAATTGCCATTGTCAACATACTCGTACACGAGCAACCTGCGTGGTTGGGGTGAAAATAGAAAATCTAAATTCAAAGAACTGCAAGTTAACGCATCGGAGCTGGCAGTTTGGTTTAGATCAGCTATTTTTGGCGAAAAGGTTCTGGTTTAGCAATTTAAAACCAAAACGATATCACATATAGATATGGATATATTGTATCATAGAACATTCACAATAAATGAAGAACACCAGAGGTGTATAAGTTCTCTTTTCGCTGATTTAATGTTATTATACCTTTTAGCACCTTCTGTGCAAAATCCAATTAGACCAACGAGGTTTTTATGCCTTACTTTGCCAATGGCTTCAACCTCCACCTTGAATTCCTTCTCTGCCTGGCCCCTACACAACTTGAGACTCTTAGATTGATTTTCGTCTTAACAAATAAAGAACTTACTATGTCAAGTCAATAAGACCTTAAGCAAATAAGCCACTTTCATGACATTAAGAAACAATACCATGAGATCCAACACCGGTTTGGGAGGGAACAAAGAGGGACTAGAGACCTCCTCTATCAGACATGTCCTAAAACCATCAGTCTAGTGTGGATAAAGCGGACAATAACTAGTGGGATTGACCAGGCAGGATGTTACAAATACGATGTTGAATTTAGAGAAATGAATTCTTTTAAACATTCCTATGAATTAAACACATCTTAAGAACACGATTCTTCCATCACACTTTATGTAAAGGTGATCATTAACAAAGGTCAAGACTCAAGATGGAAGATCTGCTGGCAATGAACATTCTTTTGAGTTGTCATGTGAGATTGCCACCTTTGAAAATGCAAGTCCTACTGACCCTTCACTCATAGATTGTGTATGGTAATTCATGAACATTTATTTTATTAACAGTAAGTTGGTAGAAATTTTTTAACCGAAACTGTAACTTGTAGGCGGTAAATAATTAAAAGTTGCACAACTAATCAAGTCCCTAAAAGGCCAAAATACAAGAAATGTGAAAACAAACCACAACATTTTTTTGTCAAATACTTGGTCACATCTCAACCGAAAAGTAGAACGATTCGATTTTTAGGACATATTTAGCAACGGTTTGCTTGGATTTGTGGCAATTTGCCGAATTCTTGGCTATTTTGTAATAATATCTAAAAGAACCATTATTGAGCCAGAAATAACAAAGCTTCGTAGATTTCACCTAAAAACACGTAATAAGATAATAGTATTTATCAAAAATAAACAAGTTGGTTTCAAATTTTCATATTCTGTGGGGTACATGTCTAAATTAGACACTTTCTTATATTTCAAAATATTAATTTGCCTTAAAAAAAGATTTCTTTTTACGATACATGATGTACACCAAATCACCAAATCACCAAACCAATTAATTCTCGTGCTCCTATTTTTTATTATTATTATTATTAACCTGGATATCCAACCTGCTATGCCAATCGACTAATCCCAAAATGACCACCTGCTTTGCAGATAGTCCTGAGTCACCGCATTTGAAACTATGCAGCCACAAATGAATTTTTTTTCCTCCTTAAATTTGAACCGAGACTTCCTGGTATTTTTGATACTGGTATTTTTTACATTTAAAGTCATACTCAAATCAACCAAAAATAGCCCTTTGTGTTTAGTGCTCCTATTTTCTAATTCGAATGTTGACACGGACTCACTGTGTAAGTGAGTAATATACATCAAATTTCAGTAAATTGACATCGATTCAATAACTTCTTTCTTGAAACGGGAGACTAATAAAGTAACCATTTACTTTATTCTGGCACCTGGTAAAAAATCATAAACTAGCACGTAATTGACGTCGGCAACGACGTAATCTTAGATCTAAAAGAGGCTCCGATCGTCGTTTTTTGGTTAAATCAACAAGCAAATAATGTGTAAATTTTGAAATCGAAGAGAAAATGGAAGTAAAAAACTCACCGATTGTCCAGAAGATTCTTCACCGCCACCGCAGAACCATCTGGTAAAGCTCCTCTGTAGACAATACCGTACCCTCCTTCTCCGATCACGTTCTCCTCCGCAAATCTATTCGTCGCAATTTCAAGCTCGCTCAAATTGAACCACCGTCCCCAGCAGATACTGTACATACTCTCCGACGACACTGAAGATGACGCGCCTTCGCTCGCGGTCGTGCCCGTACCTGTAGCCGTACCTGATTCGTTGCTTCCCGAAGTATCGTTATCTAATTTTTTTCCATCAACAGCTTTGATTATCGGTTCAGTCTCGTCTCTCTCCTCATTATCCATCTCAAACATACTAATCAACGTTTTTCCGACTTTCTCATTTTGATCTGAGCAGTTCGTTTTCACTTCGAGGTTAATCGTTTTCGTTTCCGACGACAAAGGCAACATCCCCGAACCGTGCTTGTCGACGCGCATTCTATTGTTTCGTCGTTTCGAGCTTTGCTTATAAAGGAGAAAGAGGAAAATCAGTACGAGAACCCCTGTTACTCCTGCTACCGTGACGGCAATAACGACGTATAGTTTTTGTCCTAATATTGGCGTTTTGGAGGTGAGCAGACTAACGCCGTCGTCAGTGGAGGAGGTGTTGCCGGAAACCGACATAGCTTCCGACGAGATCAGAACTGAAAATAAGAATACGTATATCCCCTGTTCGAAAGAAGAAGAGGAGCAAAATGGGAGCATTCAAACTGACAATAATGAGAAAGTTAAAGCGTGGCAAGAGTCAAGTGATTTTGTTGTGATGAAATAGGGTTTGATTTTGGAGATTATTACGGAAGTGCCACTGTCGTTGACAGGAGAATGCGTCGACCAGAAGGAATGATCGAAATGCCACTGGGAGCAGTCGGTGTTTTTATGGTAGCACGAGGGACGTGTCGGATATTGGATTTGAATTTGGATTATTTAAAAGGAAAATTTTGAAATGGTTTCGTATTTTGATTGATTAAATTTTTATTTTTTTAAATGGCAAATATTTAAAAAACCATAAAATTATCATGTTTTAAACTATTTTTTTAATAAATAATTTTTTTAATTTATTAAAATCTATACTATCTTGTAAACCAGATTTATCAAAAGTCTTAAAAACTATTTTTAATACACAAAATACTATATATTTATGCACAAAGTCTTAAAAACAACTCATAATGCATTAAGTACTACTACTTTATGCATTCATTTTTAGGGTCTCTTAGTATACAATTAAAATAACATATTGTTAAGTTACCAATACACATTATTAACTTTTCTTTTCATGTTCTCATGATACTTTTGATACCTTTCACTCATGTTTCACTCTCTCATATCTCTATGTCTTCTCCACATCCCCTAAGGTGATGTTCAAATTGATATTCACCATGAGTAAATTAAAAATTCTCTCATTCATCTCTCATTCAATTGCTCTAGAACTTTCGGTCTCACTCTTGATTTCTTGATTCTTTGCTCTTGGTGTAAATCGAATACATTTGTGAAGTCGTTTAAATATGTTGGATTTTAAATATATTAGATTTTAAACTGTCATACAATTTTTTTCATTCATAGACTGTAATTAGAACCATAACTCTAACTTATTCAAGTTATATTAATATGTAAAGACCAAATATAACTTATATCATTGTTAAATCTTCTCTAATAAAACCAGTAAAACTTCAAAATCGTTAAAATTCACGGCTGCCGCCGTATTGCGCGGGTATACAACTAGTCTAACAATTAAGGGGATGTTTGACAGTTGCTGAATGGTTTGGTGGAGAATGATTAAGTGACTCTCATGATATAGTGTGGAATGAAATATAATTGTTTGATATTTATTTAAAATAAAATTAGGGTGTTGAATGGTTAAGGGAGATCCATGATACAAAATCATTCAGAGGGTTTTAGAACCATTAGAAGGCAGACTTTTTATTTTGTCAAACAAGATTCACTTATTAACGATTCAAATATTGCTTATCAATTGAATTATTAAGAGGTAACAAACAAGCCATTACCAAAATCTGAAAAATGTAACAAACTGTTATATTTTCATGTGCACAAGTAAGTTGCAAGTTTTTTACTCCCTTCATCCCAAAATAAGCGTACATATTTCTATTTTAATTTGTCATACATAAGTATTCACTTTCAAAAGCAATTGTCTACATTCCAATTCTATCACTAACAATCAGATGTAGAAATTCATCATTCCCTCCATTATTAAGAGTAAAATTGTCATTTAGTTTATTAAAACGTGTAATAGTTACATATTTTCTAAAATTGAGTGCCCTTTTCTTTTTCACTTCGACGTTAATCGTTTTCGTTTCCGACAACAAAGTCAACAGTCCTGAACCGTGCTTGTCGACGCACATTCTATTATGTTGTTTCGAGCTATGCGTATAAAGAAGAAAGAGCAAAAATCGGTAGGAGAACCGCTGTTACACATGCTACTGTGAGATTATTTAGACTTAGGGGTCGTTTACCAAACGTTTATCAGGGTAAGCGCTTATCAAGTCACGTTATCTCACCGGATTAATATGGTAAGGACCAAGAATCTTACTCGGTAAGAGCGAGACAAGGACCAATAGTCTTACCCGTTAAGTGAGGGCGACGACTCTTACCATGGTAAGCGCTTACCGGATAAATTGTTGCATACAATGTCGTCTTGGTGGACTAAGATCTTACTCAGGAAGTAAATAATAGTGTTAGATTTTACCGGTAAGCACTTATCGAGTAAGTGTTTGATAAACGGCCCCTTAGTGTTTACTTCCTTGTTTCATCCCCCATTTTGATTGTATAAACATACCTTGTATTACCATGATCAAAACCTACAACCTGCTTTTACTTGCAAACCTTTTATGAATTCTTATCTTATGGGTCGTTTACCAAATACTTACCCAACAAGTATTTACTGATAAAATTTAACATTATTATTTACTTACCGAGTAAGATTTTAGTCCAACAAAACGACATCATATGCAATAATTTACCCGGTAAGCGCTTAACGTGGTAAGAGTCGTCACCCTCACTTACCAGGTAAGACTTTTGGTTCTTGTCTCACTCTTATCGGGTAAGATTCTTGATTCTTACCATATTCATCCGGTGAGGTAATGTTACTTGGTAAGCGCTTACCCGGATAAGCGTTTGGTAAACGACACCTTACTTTAACTTGCATTATCCCATGATTTTATATAAACTTTTTTTTATTTAACCTGGATATCCAACGCGCTATACGAGTCGACTAATCTCAGGGCGACCACCTGCTTTGTAGGTAGGGGTGAGCAGCGGAACCGGGTACCCGTTTGCGGAACCGGAACCGCCGATTCCGAAACCGATGAGTGGTTCCGGTTCCGGTTCCTAAAATACGGAACCGATTGAGAACGGTTCCGGTTCCGGTTCTCAATTTTTCGGAACCGTTACCCGCCAGGACCGGTTCCGGGTACCCGGGTACCCTGAACCGGAACCAGCGGGTACCCGGTGTTTTTCAATAAAAAAATAATTAATTAATTTTTAATACCAAATGTATATTATGTTACATCTTCAAAGGACGTGGTCATCTTCATACTTCATCAACTTTCTAGTTCTACTAAACTACACTTCATAGTATGTAATCGTTAAGTTTTGAACATTTACAATTATAGTATGTAATCGTTAAACTTTGAACATTTTCTATTAGTCTATTATGGTTTATAATCGTTAAACAATATTTGTAACAATTATTCCGTATAATTTGTATTCTTGTTTATTTAATTTAGTGTTTTGGCAATGTTTTATTTTTTATTTCTAAATAACAAAATTTTAATATTTTAGGAAGCGGGTACCCGGAACCGGAACCGGTTCCCGGCGGTTCCGGTTCCGGTTCCAAAAATTCAAGAACCGCTCTAACCGGTTCCGGTTCCGGTTTCAATATCTCAAGAACCGCCGGTTCCGGTTCCTGTCAAAAAGGGCAGGTACCCGCCTATGCTCACCCCTATTTATGGGTAGTCCGGAGTCACCGCATTTAAACCTCCGTGACCATAAGGGGATTTTTATTCCTCTTTGGATTTGAAAACTTATGGCTTAAAACTTTGTTGGCTTATCAGAAATCTGCTTACTCTTGAATGTGGAGATAACATAGAACATTGTTGGATGGCATTCCAAATATTAAGTGGGAAGACATAGACATTGAAAAACTTTATAGGTTGAGAAGGAGGTTTTAGAAACGCCTTTTTAGTCATATAACATGTCCTGATGAGCAGAGACGGACCTATAGTTGGGCATACGGTGGCACGTGTCATTGTATTATTCCTCCGTCGAAGGGTAAAATATTTTAGGTTCGTAAAAGTTGTAACCGTATTAATCTGTTGTGTGCCACCGTATGTATTTGAAACTACAAATGAAAACAAGTTTTATTTGGTAGAGTTGGTTTGCAAGACTTTTATTCCACCCCAGACCCAAGTTCGAATCGTGTTAGTGTCATTTTCTTAGTCAATTGGTGTCACCGTTTGGGAAAAAAAAATCTGTATATTTGAAAAAAAAAATCCATATTCATAGTCTCCTATCATAGTTCAACATCTCAAGAACTCATATATCAGCTATTATGTCTTCAGAAACCAGACAAAATTAACGTTTTAATGTAAAATCATACCCAAGAAATCTTAAACCAGATATTTTCTCTAGGGCCTGTCTAAAATCGAATATCTTAAACCGATGGTAAATTATTGGTCCGATCCAGTCCAGTCCAGTCCAATCCAGTCTAGTCCATATATTTACCTCTACTTTCATTGCGTGGATTAATTTTTTGTACTATGAAGTTATTGGCACCAATTAATTTGAATGGAAAGTTATTGCCATGGCTATTGGCAAATACATGAATGAGCAAGTAGGGCCTCAGGCAGGGGTACGTGTCACTCTGTGGGTGGCGTGCCATAAAATTAGTTTTGCGACTCACACCTGGTTTCAAAATGGATAAAAAGACGTATCAAATGATTTTGATGTATATATTATACACTTGTTGCTTCCTCATATTACTCCACAATATGTGACTACAAATTATTTTAAATATATAATATATAGGTTCAGATTTATGAAAAAAAATCGTAAAATAAAAATAAAAATGAAAAAACACTCTAGTGACTATTCATCAAGATGATATGTATATGTAAGCAATTTGTCCGATATATATGTGTGCATAATATGCACATATAAATAAAAATCAAGAAACGACTTCAATTACTTGTATATATATATGTTCATACTATCCAAATGAATGACTACCAAAATATTCCTTATTTTTTTCATTTTTTTCCCCGAACCACCTCTCTCTCTCTCTCTCTCTATATATATATATATATATATATATATATACACACATACACACATCTAATAAATAAGTATCTTTGAGAACACGTATCATGTTTCTGTGCGACGGATATTGATTTTTCCCGCCTAAACATGTATCTAGACACAATTTTCACTTACGGTTCAAATAGGTATACCTAAGTGACATGTATCCCTCTACACGTTTATTTTCCTGTTTTCGTGGTGTAACTGATTTCCCAGACTAATTAGAAATCTCTGGATTTCCATTCCTTAGACTTATAAGTCTAAACTCCTTTTCCTTAGTTAAAATTCAGAGTTGCCGGCCAGACTTGTAAGACATACCTATATAAAAGTCTGAGAACAAGTCTGAACTCCTTTTCCTCAGTTAAAATTCAGAATTGTCTTCCATACTTGTAAGATATACCAGTATAAAAGTATGAGAAAATCAGAGTTATAAGTTTGAATTTAACTTTAAAGTGGCTTCCAAACTTACAACATAACTCTGGGAAAATACAAAGTTGTATCAATATGGTTCCAATTACAGTCTATCAATGAAAAAAATTGTATGACGGTTTAAAATCCAACATATTTAAACGACTCCACAAATGTGTTCGGTTTACACCAAGAGTAAAGAATCAAGAGATCGAGAGCGAGACCGAGAGTTCTAGAGCAATTGAATGAGAGAACTTTTAATAAGTTATGGTGAATATCAGTTTGAATCTCAGCTTGGAGGATGGGGAGAAAACATAGATGTATGAGATGGTGAAGACATAAGTGAAATGTGTCAAAAGTATTTTGAAAACATGAAATGAAAAGATAATAATGTGCATTGGTAACTTGTACTATATGTTATTTTAATCGTAGATTAAGAGATTTTAAGACAATGCATAAAGTAGTAGTATTTAATGCATTATGAGTTGTTTTTAAGACTTTGTGAATAAATGTATAGTACTTTGTGCATTAAAAATTGTTTTTAAGACTTTTGATAAATCTAGTTTATAAGATAGTATAAATATATTTTTACTAATATATTTATTGCTCCTTTCGTTTTAAAATAAATGTCTACATTTCTAGGGATGGTGATTTGCCCCGACCCCGTGAGGAACCCGGTTCACCCGACCCGAACGGGCACGAGGATTCCCCGCTAAAACAGGTCCCGGGGACGGGGATCCCCGGTAGAATCAAAATAAAAGATACTATTTACGAGGTTTTACCGGGGATTGCTAGAGATTTGACCGGGGACGGGATAATAATCCCCGTACCCGCTGCGGACCGGGGCCAGGGGACGTTACTACAAACCGGGGCCGGGGACGAGGATTACAAAACCCGCCCCATCCCTGCCCCGTTGCCATGCCTATACATTTCTATTTATATTTATCTCAAAATAAGTGTCCGTTTTTAAAAGTAAATAACTAAATTCTTAAATATTGCACAAATATTTAAGAGTTATGAAGAAAGAGAAATTAAACAAAAGTAAAGATGTCATTTAGTTAACTAAAAAGTGTAATAATTATCTATGCCCAAAATTGTGTCATTTCAATTGTGGACACTGGACGAAAGGAGTATATTATAAAACACTTACATCATGTTATTAAAATACCTTAAAATTCAAGTTAACTGCTTATTTTTAATCCTCCAACTTTGATATTCATAAAATTAACTGATAATCAGCTAATAAACATGTTCAAATACAAGATAAACGTTGAGTGTACTAATACACCAAAATGTTCTAGAACACCGATAACCAACCAAAGATTCTCTCAACCTCTAAAAATACATAAAATTGTAGAATAAAATTTAGTGACAAAGAATGAAATGAAGTATGAATTATGACTGAAAGTTCGAGTTTCTGGTTTCAAAATTGAGATATACCTCGACGCATTACGCAGGTACACTTCTGGTTATTAGAATGTTTGTAGCCTTGACCGGTTAACCGCCATAGCTTAAATTCCAAGCTTGATCCAAAACCATAAGTTTTTTTGTTTTTCGTTTGTAAGTGAGTGTACGGGCTAGCTTGCATGCACCTCGACTAATCTCATAGGGCCTTCTTGATAACAGTTAGAAAAATCCCAAGTGACCCAGAAGAGACTCGAATTGACAACCTATGGGGAAGAGTCCCAAGATCTTACCTTTATTTGCCGGTTGAAGTTACCCTCGAGATTAACCATAAGTTGTAACCGCCTAGGTAGGTCTAACCAGTTCCAATGCTAAGGCAAGACAATACCAACCTGGGATTTTGCTTATATCAATTCAAGGCTATGTTTGGTGAACTAGCTAATAAGCTATCTGATAACTGATAAACAAATCATGTTTGAAAAACACTAGCTGATAAACATGTTAAATGACCAAAAAAGACATCTTAATAAATTTGTCAATTATGATATAACTAGTTGTGCACCCGCGCAATGCAACGGGAGCCGTGAATTTTAACAATTTTGAAGTTTCACTGGTTTTATTAGAGAAGATTTAGCGATGATATAAGTTACAATTGGTCTTTACATATTAATACAATTTGAATAAATAAGAGTTATGGTTCCAATTACAGTCTATCGATGGAAAAAATTGTATGATAGTTTACAATCTAATATATTTAAAACCCAACATATTTAAATGACTCCACAAATGTGTTCGATTTACACAAAGAGCAAAGAATCAAGAGATCGAGATCGAGAGCGAGACCGAGTGTTCTAGAACAATTGAATGGGAGAACTTTTAATAACTCATAGTGAATATCAGTTTGAATCTCATCTTGGGGGATGAGAACAAGACATGAGTATCAAACTCCTACCGGCAAGACTCGCCACCTTTACTTACCTTATCGGTTAACATTCACGGCCAACAAAATAAATTGTTGATAAGCACTTAAAGGGTAACAGTCACCACCCTCACTTAGGTAAGACTCTCAATCCTTATCGTGCCCTCTTATCAGGTAAGATTTTCGGCAATTGCTCTGCTAAATCCATTTACTCAATAAGTATGTGCAAAGAATGCTTTAGAAAACAGAGATCCAATCCATAGAAAAACTTTCATTCATTTCCAGTTCTTCTAGGAGAAAAAGAGTATGTGATAAACGCAATAAATGCTTTGTAATGCACCGAGACCATGCTCGACGGAAAACATTGGCTAAATGACGGAAATTTTAGTAGAAGAGAACCCGCGATGCAATGTGGTCATAGTCCTTGTCACCGAGGAAGTCCAAAGTCTAAGGAAGATACGAAAGAAGATAGAATTAGTTGCGACGAGTCATTATTAACAAAACAAGGAATCACATACATCAATCAAGAAACAGAAGACGGTAAGAAGATTCGTGGGTCCCGTTGTCCCATCTTTGGTTGTTATACTACCATCAAGTAAATGGGACCCAAAATCACCTCGGTCCACCGAGACAAAATGTAGAACCTGCAGCAACAGTTCATCGTTCAAATGAACAGGACCGAGAAAGTAGGATCTAATGGGAAGTTTTCGCATGCCTAGGCTTAAACACAAAGCCAAAGATCAGGAATGAAGAGTACTCATTTCAACTAAAGCTTAGGGGCCATTTACCAACACAAATTTAGTAACCGCAAACCGGTCAGAGTGCGATTTGGGTAAGCAAATTGGAAAGTGTTTTGTAGTAAGTGCTTACCGATAAAAAAGATTACCATTATAACCCTCTATATAATTAGAGTTCTTTGAAAAATCCTAATCGTAAAAAGGGTAGGCCTGGAAAGTACGTAAACTCACACAATAAGTGAAACAATAATTCTAGCTGGGTAGGTGCCTGACTAACACCTTCAATCAGATCTGTCCCTAGGTAAACATGTTGTGTTGACTGAGTCAGCTAATCTGACTGAGTCAGCAGTAGATAAGCATCCCCTTAGTAAATACAACTAGCATGTGTGTGGCTGTGTGCTACTCATGACTCATGAGAGTCCGTAAAAGTGGTCAAACAAAGAGACCTTCAAAAACACAGACTCACAAATTCGAACTCAATGGTATTCAACTGAATATCGTTGATACAAACGTTACTATTGAAGTAACTCTGATCACCAAGAGTGAGAAATCGTCAAAACCACAAGGAAAAGAATTCCAATTTGAATACAAAGTTAAGTGACATCTAAGCATTCAACTTCTGCACAAACTGCAAGATTTTCAAGTTGGCAATTCAAAACTCGAAGCAGATTTCCATTTTAAAAGCAATTTTATATGTGCTAATCGCATTGATCACTCCTGTTGTCACAATGATGATGCAAGACCTATAGCAGTTAGCAGATGAACTAGTCAGAGTGTTATGCAAAACATTGAGGCATATTCCAACGGTTTAAATTAACCATGCCATCCCAGATTCGGTGCAAAAAGTGATACGTGACTCGAATTCGCGGCCCTCTTCCTCATGATACTTGAGTGCCTAGAAACAGTTTCAAATCTAATAACTGTGTTTTAGCCTAGCTTGTGTACATTCTAGGAGAAGAGTAGGGGTATCAAGTCAATCTCGTAACCAGTAAATACAAATCAAGCACAACCAGATTTCACTGTAAGTCTTAACATAGTTGTAGGATGAAGGGACGGACCCAGAATTTTTTTCAAACGGTGGCACCATTTGACTATAAGAAAAAATTATAGCGAAAAAATTTCAAACTGTGGCACCGGTTGACTATAAGAAACAAATATAAGGAATTTTTTTCAATCGGTGACACTATTTGACTAAGAAAATGACACTAACAAGATTTGAATTTGGGTCTTGAGTGGAATAAAAGCCTTGCAAACCAACTCTACCAAATAAAACTTATTCTCATTGTAGTTTCAAAATACATACGGTGACCCACAACAGATTAATACGGTTGCACCTTTCACGAACCTAATTTTTTTACCCTTCGACGGAGAAATAATATGGTGGCACGCGCCACCGTAACCACCATGGTAGGTCCGCCCACTAGGATCTTTGTTACTGAATTATGGCTACTAAAAGTTACCAATTTGGTCTCTTTCTATTATAAACTACGATCGAACAACATGATTTCCAAACAAGAAGCAACATCATCAAGCAACACCCTAAAGGGGTGATATAGTTATCAACCCATTCAAATTCTGACTGCTCTTATGATATTTTAACCTGAATACTGATTAGTGAAGACAATCCAGAGTTATTTCACCTGTGAAAATATCTGCAAAACGATCCCTAAGGAGATAATGAGGTTCTAACATATATATCGAGGATAAATGGTTCAAGTCCATCTGATGTAGCATTTCAACATCACCATCCAGGATTCCAGATAATCATGTTTATAGAATTTATTGGTGAGTATAATGCCGTGTTTCACTTAACGATCAATAACATGAGCTTAAATTATGAAACAAAAACGTAGAGAATTCATATAAAAATCATATACCTTGAGAAAGCCAACTCCAGCAGGTGGAATCAACAGCAATACTTGACCTAAGACGAGCAGATGCAATTGCACTGTGAAGAGGCATCATTGATTCAACAGTTCCCAATGCCCCGAGAATCCTGAAGAACACGGAAGATCAAAATGATGGAATTCAAATGCGGATCGCTACTAATAGTGAAGTACTGACCTTGAAGCTGCGCGAGAGACTGTTCGTGTTGACGAATGAAAAGGAGAAACAGGTAGGGATTTGGGGGTTAGGGTTCTTGAAATTAGATTTGATCCAGTTGCAATAGTTCTGGCACCAAATACCACCGCTGATCTGCTTGCCGAAGCCATGATTTCTTTCAACCCAATGTCGGATAAACCCTAATTTACTTGAACCCTTGTATGAATGATCCACACATTACATAACTTGTACCAGAAGCATTGCTTGTTGTACATTTAGGGTCATAAATGTTAAGGCAAAATGGAAAGAAGTTTATCCTTGCAGACTATTACAAGATTAAATATATAATCCATCAAAATTAATATAATAGAAGTTATTATTAAATAAAAAATAAACCAAACTTTAAAATCAATCTTCAACAAATTATTTTTTCAATTACTAGAATGATATTCGCACAATTCAGTAAAATACATCTCGATTTTCAATCGATTAATAGTACCGTACCAAATATGGAAATTTAGTTGTTATACGGTATTAGAAGTTGCATACCACCATGGTACCAACCTATTTAATTATTTATTAGTTTTTTGAGTGATATTTTGTTCATACATAAGAATGTTTTGTTCATACATAAGAATGTTTTGCAACTTTTATTCCTTGCAATAAGAAAACTTTTAAACATCACGCTTGTTATCTGAAAACTCAATATCACTCAAAACTTGAACAAAATGGCAAATGATAAATTTTCATATATGTAACTCGAAGTTGATACAAAACCAGTACCAACATGTACCAACTAAAAAATGTTGGTATCGAGTACAGTTGGTTCTTACACGGAATAAGACTTTATGTATCAAGTATAAGAGGAAAAAATTGATACCGTACCCAGTCCATCTCTAGTACATAGGGGTACACATGGATTGAATCGGCCGGGTAGAAAGCGTTGGACGACCCAACCCAACTTCATCGGCCTAGAAAAATCCATACCCGTTTAAAAATAATAATGTATAACCCGACCCCTTGGTGAACCTGTTAGAAATGGTCAAGTGAATCATCTCTAATCTCTTTCTAAACCAGATCAAAACACAACCATGTCATCCACAATTTACAGTTGCAAAAACAAAAACTTTCAACCTTCCTTCAAACATAAACACCAACATCAAATCGTACGTTTTCTGATCGACATACATCTTAAAGAAGGCGCTCAAATGGGGCACCCGAGATGCGTTATTACCAAAGAATCGTTCGGTCCATCCATCCTAATCCTCGTTCCATCTCTCTTCATCTTGCAAGCCCATCGGTTCAGGAAACACATCCTTCGAATACCTTCTAGCAGACAAACAACCATCCTCACCAACCTTCAAGTCCCCTTTGCCGCCACATCCTGCCGCCAAGTTATGCCGCCAGCTGCCATTCCTGGATGAACTTGTTCCAAGTCTGGCCGAGCTCGATGTTTCTTCACGTACAACTTTCAAAGGATTTTCCAAAGCTTTGAGTACAAATCTCATTAGCGGTCTCCTTGAAGGTTTAGGATTAAGGCAAGATTTAGCAACAACGGCCATCGCCCATACTTCGTCTAATAAATCCTCGTCCACTATCAGCGATGGATCTATTATGATCTTCACAAGTTCTTTATCGTATATACTGATAAATGGAAGCAAACCATCCAACATCTCTTTTGTGGTCGAATCACTCGATGCGCTAATACCTATTTTGCCCGTTACAAGCTCCAGCAATACTTTCCCGAAGCTGTAAACATCATATGTACACGTTGCAGTAGCTACACCTGGACATCGGAACAGAAGTTTGATAAAATCAAACATAGGCCCTCTCGAGATAAAAATAGGTTTGGTATGCAGAAACAACTAGATTGTATTGGATGGGCAAGAGTGAAACGTGAAAAAATTATGGAAGGATTTAGAGCCTGTTTGTTAGCAGCTTAATAAGCTTAACGCAACGGGACTCCCTGCTTATTTGGTCAGATATACATGACTGTTTGGTAGAGGCTTAACAGTATAGAAAGTGGCTTATTCAGTAAGCTTCCAGGGGTAATCTTTAGGCAGAACGCCAAGTTTTTTTTTACAAACATGTCTCTCTCAATTAAAAAACATGCTCCTTCCATCTATGAAAAAACCCTCTAAACAAAAACCTTCCCGCTCTATGCAGACATATTAATTCACAGAGACAGTTTTATCCATAAAGACTAAATGGAAACCAACCAAACTGCCCCTTGGTGTTCTAATTTGACATGGGTAGTTTAGTAATTTACTAAGTTTGTCCCGTTCACATGGTTTTTATTCCACCTATTTTTATGGGACAAAAAAATGCAATTTTTGTCCCCTCGGTATTGTCCAATCCTAGTTTAATTGCCGCACCACCAAACATGGGACACAAAGTTTTTGTTCCGTTCTGTACTATCCCACATACCAAATGCACTAAGTGAACGTATAATAAAAAATAAGATGAGAACTATGGCAAATATGGAACAAACAGATACAGAACTTACCAGAAGCAACTTCTTCAGATATCCTGCAAAAATCCAAGAGAAAATTTCTGTTAAAACCCTCAAATTCTCGATCATTAACTGCAAATAAGGTTATTTTTTATGTTCATCGGTTTCCGATGAGGGTAGATTTGCGTACTTACTGTGGTAATCGTAGCAATCTCGTGATCTTGTTTGAATGGCTATCAGTGTCTTGGATACAAGCCTCAGTTAGGCTTCCTAACCGCACTTCATATTTATCATCAAGAAGTATACTGCTAGCTTGAACGTCTCTTCAATTAAACAAAAACGAAAAAGAATTCAGCACATAAGTTTCTAGATGACGATCGTTAAATTCATATCAAGATATAAGGATTAAGGGTTCTTTAGAATACCTATGAACAAGGGGTGGAACACATTCGTGATGCAGATATGATAGGCCTTCGGCAACTCCAATTGCGATCTTCAATCTTGTTATCCAATCCAACAATTTTAAGTCCGAACCGATTTTCCAGTATAAAGAACTTGAAAGATCCCCTTTTGGCATATATTTGTATATCAGAAACTGTTCCTTCTCTTTCTCCAAGCAATGTCCCAATAGAGGAACCAATCTTGGATGAGAAACCTTACTGAAAAAATCTAACTCCACCCTGCAACTGTTCTTTCTGGAATGCACATCAAATCTTTTGACGATTATATGAATCCCACCCTCCAAAACACCCTTAAAAACGTCACCAGAATGACCGTTTTTCACAAGATTTCCATCATTAAAGTCACCGGTGGCTGCAAGAATCTCCTCATAACCAAACGCTTCTCCAAAAAGGTTCAAACTCGCTCCTGGTGCACCTGTACCTGCCGCACTTGGTCCCAATCCAGATCCTATTTCAGTTGTTTTCCGTTCCTCACGGCTGCATATGATCAGCAGCACCACCAAAATCACAAAGAGTAGAACGAGCCCAACAGTGCCCAACACTGCTGCAAATATGACCATTCGCCGGTTGCTTTTATGGTCACCTAAAGGACGGTGAATGGTGCCATTTGGAAGTCCAAAATTATCGAATGACAACCCCTTCCTAGAATAGAATCCTGCACATTCTTTCACATTCCTTTGGCTCGACCAGCTATGAAAACAGTTTCTGTCTAAAGACACAACATTACGAGCATAATCTGGTATTTTGTCTTGGAAGTAATTGTAAGAAAGATCCACAGTACTGACCCTTTTAAGCACAGAGGTCAGGACTCCATAAAACATATTGTGTGAAAGATTGAACACTGCCATGGTGGTATTAGCATTCAAACTAAGATTTGGTAATAATCCCATAAAATTATTACTGGATACATCAAGAAAACTCAAATTAGGCAGTGACCATAATGCATCAGGAAGATCACCAGTGAAGTTATTGTTGCAAATCACCATTCTCTGCAAATGCCTTAAACTTCCAAATTCTGCAGGCACAGAGCCAGAAAGTGAACTGGAACTCAGATCCAGAACAACCAAACTAGAAAGATTTCCGAGATGAGTGGGAACGGAAGAAGAAAGACTGTTACTAGAAAGATTCAAAGATTTAAGATTCAATAGGTTCCCAAAATCTTCAGGGATGGCCCCAGATAAGTTGTTCGATGAAATGTCAAGCAGAGAAAGTTTAGCTAAAGACCCTAAAGATGAAGGGATCAAACCAGTAAGCGAATTTCTTGATAGATCAAGAACTGAAAGATGTGATAACAGACCCAAGTTAGATGGAATAGTGCCAGTAAGATTGTTATCAGATAAATATAATTCACCAAGGTTAGACAAATTCCCAATGTTAGATGGAATGGCACCAGAGATTTCACAAAATCTAAGATCAAGAACCGTAAGGGTTTGAAGCTGAAGCCCTAACCAATTCGGTATTGAACCAGGAAGCGTGAGTCTTGAGGCATTGAAAGAAACCAATTTGGTGAAATTGGCAAGAGAATCGACTGAAAATTTAGGGTTTTGATTCCCAATTCGGGTTCTCTTAAACCCAGAAATATTGATCCCAGTAACACTACCATCTTGACATAGAACACCGATCCAAGCTAAACATGGATCCGATTTTATAGGCCAGTCTTTGGTTCTCAACCCTAATGATGACCTAAGTTGAAGCAGAGCTGCCCGTTCTGCCCTAGAACTTAATGGGGCAGAGTGTTCCTGCTGTTGAAATGTACTCCGAAAGAACAACAAGAAGAACAACAGAACTAAATTACCCTCCATGATGATGATTATCTCTAAAGAACAAGCAACAGTTTGTTCATGCACGATGACATTTTCTTGAATATAATGAACTCATAAACGGCAAAATTGAGTAGTGAAATTAGGGATTCTCCATGATTATATCACACATTGCTCTTACCTTGAATTATCAGGAAAAAAACCCTCTGAATCTTCGATTCTGCTCTAAAAACTTACCAGCAATCGGTTCTCTGTTTCGATGGGTTGATGAAAGTGAGAGTTGTAAGAACTAAAGAATCTGAGTGAAGAAAACGACAGCAAGTTTCTAGAGAGGGTTTGTGTTTGATGAGTTGCAGAGTATCAAAATCCCCTGGCAATCATGAATGAAGAATGAAATTAAAAAGGAAATCTAAGGGGTGTTTGGGATTGCTTATTTAAAACAACTTATGCTTTTTTGTAAAAGTGCTTATTAACTTATGTGGTATCAAATTGGAGTTTTGTAAAAAGTGTTTGGATTAGCTTACAGCGGTACCAAACTGCAATAAGCTGATAAGTTGTTTTTAGTGTTTGGCAAATTTTGCTTATATCTGTAAAATGACCAAAACGGACAGAGAGAAGATTGATGTTGTTATATGGAGAAGGGAGAAGATTGAGATCGATGTTATCTGGAGGAAAAAAGATAGGTATAAAGGGTAATAGGGTTAAAATGGTAAACTGGTAATAAGCAGTTTTTCATAAGTCAGGACGGATTAACTTATCAAAAACTGCTTATTACCGGTTTGGCACCGGTATAAGCAGTTTTCTTTTTTCTTATCCAAACACTAGGTATTAGCTTATCATCGGTGACAGACTGAAATAAGTCAATAAACAGATAAAATAAGCAATCCCAAACACCCCCTAAAAACAAAAGAGGGTATGGGTTCTGCTTTTTATCAGGGAAAAAGGGTTTTGTTTGGGTTTATCAGGTGAAGATATTTAAACAATTCAATTTATTGATTGAGGTTCGAAAAATCTTAACTCAACTTAGCCCAAACTAAAGTGCAATCTAACCTAATTCAAACTGTATGGGTTGGTCGGGTTGGTATTTTGATACATTAAAATATTCGTCTAACCTTAAATATGTTATTTCTCTACTTATAATTTTTTTTTCATCGTCAATCATTTAATACAATTTATCCATACTTTCTTACGTATATCATATTGAGTTAATTTTCCCAATTTATATATATATGTTCACAGTTACTGGACATATATACGAATGAGTTATATAAAGATGCGAATAGATTGAAAATATGTGTACATGAAAAGCGTACGTGATAGTATAATTGTCTAATGTGTATATTAATAGAAATTCAACAATCATATTAAAATTCAAGAAATAAAAGGATAGCAGGTTCATCGGGTTAGGTTGAGTTCAAATAAAAGTAACTCAATACTTACAGTTTGAAAATTTTACAACCCAGGTTACTTCAAGTTGAGCTATTTCGCATTAAATTAGATTGAGTTGATTGAGTCGGTCGAGTTTTTGAGCATCCCTATTTTTAGGGGGTTAAAAAAGGAAATTAATTAAAATCCTTAATTTTTTTATAAATTCAATTCTTTAACCATTTTTTGAATTGGATTTCTATTTTAGCCTATATTTACATAAATGTCTTGTATATTTGTTTAAACTCGATATGTAAATTTTAAAAAAAATTATTTTTGGAAAGATTCAAATTTTTGTACAAGAATTCAAATTTATGTGTAAATAATTCTTACGTATATGCGTAAGCCTTTTTTTATATATAGAAATTAGTCGCACATATGTATTAAAACTGACTATTTTGAAAAGAGACTATAAAAAATAACCAAAAAAATGAATTTACGTGATGAAATTAACTTTTTATGATTAAAAATGGTTTTTTTTCCAAGTGGGGATCGTGGTGGAGGAGGGATGTTGCCACTTTATTATATGCTAGGGCTTTTAAAAAAAAACTGTGGATAGTGTGCGGTTTGATCTATATTTTAATTTATCAGGTTGTTGGATTAAGCCGTCAAACTACCTATATTTTATATATTAAAATCGTATATGATTAAATAATATATACCTATATAGGGGCTTAATCAAATGAGAACTAGATAGTTTGTGGTAATTGTGAGGTCCAATATGAAACAATCATTTTAGATAATTAATATTATTTACTAAAACAAAATAAATGGTAAATTAGTAAATTGTGTTGATTATTCAATTTACTTTAATTAGTTTAATTAGTTTAATTATTTTAATATATGTGTATATATACACACAGAGGGACCAAATCCGATGGCCTTCTCTGGCACCCACCACCACTCCGGTGACCTCCTTCGATCATCTTGTTTGACCAAGACGCGGTCTTCGATAATCAACCACTAAACACCCACTTGTGAGCATTCCCGACAGCTAGCCCCATCTTTATCCCTGTGAGCCCCTCACTACCTATCTCCCTTCCCCCATCTCTGCCACAGTTGATATCACAGTGGACCATAGTTGGTATCACAATTAGTAACACAGTGGTCTCAGAGTTTATTTATTTGTTTTGTGTATCACATTGTGTATCTTGGTGTATTTTGGGTATCGCATGATATTCGTCGGAGGCCGGAGGTAGGAGAGAGAGAAAAAATAAAATACCTAAAATGCTCTTTAATTATAAATTTAAGTCAAGTTTCCAAAAATATTAGTTTTCTAATTTATCCATTGATTTGTGGTTGAGATTGGACCTCACAGTTATCACAAACTAATCAGTTCTCTCTTGAATGGACCCCTATATATATGTATATATATATATATATATATATAGAAAGGGGGGGATGTTTATTTTGCAAACCACGTTATTTGTACAAATCGTACAAACCTCATTCAACCAATCATAATTTTTCATTTTATTCTTTTTTTAATAATTATGAGAGATTGATTAATCATTTTTATTGTGGAGGGTGTTAATCATAAATATTATTATCTTCATTATATTAATTCTATAGAAGTAAACAATTTCATTAAAATTTCATAAGTATATATGAAATAACTAATCAAAAAAATATATTATAGAAACAATTTCATATGATTAAATAATTCAATGAAAATGTTTCATAAGACTAAACAATGAAATTGACGAATGAGGATAGTTTTTACAAATATGAATGGTTTACATTTTGATCGCTCCTCCATGTATATATATATATATATATATATATATATATATATATATATATAGGGACCTAATCAAATGATAACTAATTAGTTTGTGGTAACTGTGAGATCCAATCTCAACCACAAATTAACGGATAAATTGGGAAATTAATAATTATGATAGTTTGAGTTAAAATTGTAATTAGAGGGCATATTAGGTATTTTTTAAAAACTTCTCTCTCCTCTCTCCTCTTTCATCTCTCCGACCTCCAATCTCCGGCCTCCGGCGAAATCGGTATCACAGTATATCACAATGGGTATCACATTGTGTATCTTTGTTTTTAAAGTTTGAGTTGGTATCATAGTTGGTATCACAATGGTATCACAGTATATCACAATGAGTATCACATTGTGTATCTTTGTGATTATTTGGTACCTGCCGGATTAATGTTCACCGGAGACCGGAGATTGAAGGTCGGAGAGATGAGAGAGGAGAGAGGAGTTTTTTTTAAATACCTAAAAAATCCTCTAATTATAATTTTAATTCAAATTATCATAATTATTAATTTCCTAATTTATCCGTTGATTTGTGGTTGAGATTAGATCTCACAGTTAACACAAACTAATCAGTTCTCTCTTGAATATATATATATATATATATAGAGAGAGAGAGAGAGAGAGAGAGAGACTTGGGAATTGGGATCATGTGAGACTAATAGTTTTTCGTGAGACCCGTAAGACCAATTCTCAACYCTTGGATTAGATCCACAATCGTCAGATCTGAATATTCATAAACGCCACAAGAGTTCTCAATAATTACAAAATTGCCACCATGCAATTTTAGACCATTAGATCATATGCATATAAAGTTAATCAATGAACATAATGTTTCGCAGTTTAATGAATCTTCTACTTATTTGATGGGCTGGTTAAACTCTTCACAACTTATTAATGGATATAACCCTTTTGGTATGAATAGTTTATCAGTCTGAGCATGGATGTTTTTATTTGGACATCTTGTTTGGGCTACTGGATTTATGTTTTTAATTTCCTGGCGTGGATATTGACATGAATTGATTGAAACTTTAGCATGGGCTCATGAACGCACACCTTTGGCCAATTTGATTCGTTGGAGAGATAAATCGATGACACTTTCCAGTGTACAAGCAAGATTGGTTGGTTTATCCCACTTTTCTATAGGTTATATATATATATTTATTTATTTATTTATTTATTATAATAAAAAATCTAGTGAGAGAAAGTTCAATCAAGTGAGAGAGAGAAAAAAAAGTATTTCACACATACATATATATATATATATATATATATATTGATTATAATAACAAATTAATTTGCATTAATCTTTGATTTATATAGATTGATTCAAGATAATAACGATCAAAGAATATGTGACCTTTTTTTTCTCTGGTCAAAACAATCCAAAAAGGTCTTGAACGATCTTGATCTGGTAATTCACAGACAAATCCATGACTAATTTGCCTCCAAGATTTTCGGACCAGTTAAGGATTAATGGTCCGCCTTATGACATAATTATTTGATTTAGTCTGGTCCAAACAAAAAACACAGTTTTTTTTTTTTTTTGTTGCCAATCTCTCAACCTTCAATCAATCACCAAATAGTCATTTATAGATCATACCCAAATTTTAATTTAGTATAAGTTGAATTTTGGTTATTACTAAATTAATATATATCACCTATCCAATATTTCTCTTAAGCCACTAAATTAATATATTCTAAATTTGTTTACCTAAATATTGGCTTCATAAGTCTGGAGTTTTCAAAAAAAAAACCTGTTTTACTATTTGGAATAGAGGTTTAGGTCTGCATACATTACACCTTTCAGTCATAGACCCCATCATAAAAACTTGTTTGTTAGCAACTTAATGAGACTTATATCGGTCAATTAAAAAAAAGCATATTTTTCTTTGAAGTATTAGTCATTGCATATCTTAGTGAATATTGGATGGCAATGACATCATGTTACTATGCATCTAGATTTTAACTTAGTTGACTTTTTTTTTTTAACCTGGATATCCAACCCGCTATTTAACCTGTTATTCGAGCCGACTAATCACAGGACGACCACCTATTTTGCAGATAGTCCAGAGTCATCACATTTGAACCTCCGTGGCCACAAGAGGATTTTTATTCCTCTTTGGATTTAA